TTCTGCATTCTGCCTATGGCTCCTGTAATTTTATGTGCTTCCACCTTTAAGGTGCCAATTCATGGGACGCTGAAAAACAGCGTTGAGCGACGTCACGTGACATCACTATGATGCCAGCGTCAAGAAAGAGAAGTTGGATTTTTCCAACTTCAAGCGTCAAAGCCAAAGCAGCGCGAAGACGCCGAAATTTTGACGCTGTTTTCCTTTTCATGAATTTCAATTGACGCCGGCGTCAATTGTGGTCATGCGACCTTCTTGCCGCTGAAAATGAGCGTCGAGCGTCAGCATGAAAAGGCACCTTAATGCGTAAGCATAAGAAAATAGATTGGTCTATACACATGTGCATAAGGAAATAGACCAATCAGTTTTCTTATGCTTACGCATTATGCGTTGTGCAGAACTGTGTGCTCCCCGCTTTACCGACCTAACTGGATTCGGAATACACCCTGGGTACCCATTGGCCCTCAACTAGGAAATCTTCACCTTTTTGTTCATAAACGAATACGTTTCATAACGAACGATTTCAAGACTTAGGTACCTAGGCTGCGTTTCAAAACCCATCAAAAAATAAAAGGTTTGTTCGCGTCGCACGCCCCACCATGCTCCTACTCACTTCAATGCACTCCAAAAACTCATCTGCTCCAATCGCCACCCTTTACCCCTGGTATATATTGGAGTATGCGACGCGAACAAACCTAAAGTGTTGCAGCCTTTCTGTGATCCACTATGGCAGCTTTTCAGCAAGCGACACAAGTCGACACAAGTATCATTTTATCTTTGTTACTCATTGCTAAAAAAGAAAGATAGAATGATGTTTGTGTCGACTTGTGTCGCTTGCTGGAAAGCTTTCTACTGAAAATTGAACAAAGATAAAACCTACACGGTGTATATGTATCAGTTGTGCACCCGAGTGAAGTTTTCGAATGCGGTCCAACACTGTTCAATCTGATTTGGGGGGGTCAGCCATCTGCTTTAGCCGCAGTCAGAGCCACGTCATATTTGTGTGCCGCCGTCGAGCGAGCTGCGCGAGCTGGCTCTCTGACTCCTCCGCGGGTTTTTTTACGTAAAATCACACCCCCGCGACCGTAAGCATGAATATATTCCGACTGCTGGGCGACCTGTCGCACCTTTTAGCCATTATCATCCTACTCCTCAAAATATGGAAGACACGGAGCTGCGCCGGTGAGTGAACCGCCTTGATCGTTTCGCTCAGGGACGCGCGTGTTCATGACGAGCTTGATGTGTTACAACCGAACGCCGGTGACGTTCCGCTCCACTGGCAGCGATTATCGACGCTTGAACTGTTCGCAGGTATCAGTGGCAAATCGCAGATCCTCTTTGCGATTGTTTATACCACCCGTTATCTAGACCTGTTCACCACATTCATCTCGGCGTATAACACGTTCATGAAGATCATATTCATCGCCACGTCCCTCGCCACGGTCTTCTTGATGTATGTCAAGTTCAAAGCCACGTACGATCATAATCACGATACGTTCAGGTGAGGCCCAAGATTGTTATCGAGAAGTTGTCCAGGGCGTTTTCACTGTGGATACTTCCACTGACAGATGGGCTTTCTGTTGCAGGATCGAGTTCCTGATCTTACCCGCGTTTGTCCTGGCACTGTTAATCAATCATGAGCTGTCCCCTGTCGAGGTCTTGTGGACGTTCAGCATTTACCTAGAGTCAGTGGCGATATTACCCCAGTTGTTCCTGGTGTCAAAAACAGGCGAGGCGGAAAGCATTACCAGCCACTACTTGTTTGCATTAGGATCATACAGAGGCCTGTATCTGTTCAACTGGATCTACCGCTACTACGCTGAGGATCATTACGACTTGATCGCTATAGTCGCCGGATTGGTGCAAACAGTTCTCTATTGTGACTTTTTCTACCTCTATATTACCAAAGTACTCAAAGGCAAGAAGCTACAACTACCTGCTTAGCTTCAGTTGAGAGTATTATTCTCTTGTATCAGAGAAACATTCAACTGCCTCTGTGGCATCGCCAATTCGAGATAAATTCGGCCAATCCTGGGAGGCTCGTCGAACGTGCACGGTAGTGTACGTTTCAACTAAGTATGAAATGTCTGGCAGCGTTCCCTTCCCAAACATTTTCTTCCTTCCTTCCGTCGTCCTTCGTACAATGCCATGTGCTGCGTCTCCTTTCCCAGGACGAGAAAAGTCTAAGTTGCCTTTATTATTTTCTTTCGCGTACTTCATTTCAATTAATGTATATTATCGCAAGATCAAAAGATAGCTGTTTATCTTAAAATTCAGAGAGTCAGTAAAATAGGGATGAAGAGGAGAGAATGTAGAACCAGAATTTTCACTTATATTTACAGTTTATATCGTTGTAACTGTCAGTAATAAATATAGTTAATAATTAAATATAGTTACATGATAGCTACATCTCATGATTGGTAACATTGATCGAAAAAAAATCCGGTTGTGCCATTGTAGCAAATCAAGAAGAACGCAAACTAATATACTTTACTAAGTCGGTAATATGAACTGCTTCGCTAAGAGTCGTCGAGCGATTTTTAACATGTACAACGCCATTCTTAAGACTAGTCTTATCCACTGACACGACGTGCGGGATCAGGCACATTTCTATGATCTGTTCTGTATTCATCAATATGGTAGAGATTCCTCTCGCCCTAAGCATATTGCTTAAGTATAGCACAAAGCGATTTAAGTCTTCTATATCCGAATCAGTCTCGTTCTCCTGTCTCGCTATGTGAAACGTAATTTTGTATGGGGATAACTTAGGATGAATATACGCTCTATTTGATTTATCCAACATGTGGCTGTCGCAGAGTAACGCCAAGCAGCCCCAATCCAAGGAAGCGACATGCTCGACCATATGCACGTCTGCAGCATTATCTTTATTATTTTCGGCCTGTAAATAAATACCCCATTTAAATAATTCTCTCTCTTTCTCTGTCTCTCTCTCTCTCTCTCTCTCTCTCTCTCTATTTCTCATTATGTTATCGATATATCGCAGTTTATTAAGAAAGCATTAGTACCTGAGGATACAACTTGCGTACGCCAGGATAATGAGTGATCGTTTCCACGACGATATTTCCAAAGGGAAACTGCGCCTCTATCTCCGTCACGTCGAGATTCCGTGTCTTCTTCGCCTCAGCGAGCACAAATCTCGAGGGGTGCTGGGCGAGTTTGCGCCACCACACTTTGCGCTCCCTCTGCTTCTTGTGTAGCAGACTCTTCGCGTCTGACGCATCGACGAACACGTTGATCTTGGCTGTTCTGTGGGACGGTATCCTACCACCTGCCGACAGCAACGACTCGTTCCACCCGCTTTTGGATGTCGCAAGCGTGGCGAGCGCAAACGGCAGTACCTCGTCCATCGAATTGCTCCGCAGTAGCTGCAACGTGTCTACGATCACGTCGCATGGAAACACGTTGTAGTGTGGGATCGTGACGCAGTGTGTAAACCAGTGCTCCTCCAGGTTCCTCAGTAGCAACTTGCCCTGGGGCCCGTACACAAACATTCGCTCGGACAGACTAAGGAAATATGGGCCAACGGCCTTCAACACAGCTTCTAGACTCATCGTTTGGGCTCGCTCTCCTTTTCCTTGTTTGTCGCCAGTGGCGCGACAAAGTACTCTTCTTCTAACACTGCGGCGTTCTTCAGTATCTCGCGCCGCTCGACGTCGTGTCGCGCCACGTCGTCCCGCAGGTGAATACAATCGTTCTCCAGGGTGCTGTACATCGGACGCACGGTCTCGTCGATGCCGACCGTCCGCAGCCGCTCGGTGAACGCTATTGCCTCCTCCAGCACCCGTTTGCTCTGCCTGTACTCAAAGCCGACCAGTGCCAGTCTCTCAATCCTCCGGATCGTCGTTTCGTCGATGACCGGTTTCTTGTCACCGCTCGACCGACTGTCGCAGTTTTTCACTTCGTTATTGGTCTCTGGTTGTTGATGCTGTCGCTGTTTCGTTGACGCCGTCGAAAAGCAGCACGTTCTGAAAGATGGAACAGCGTTACCTCGACGCGAAAAGATGACTACGACGACACCTTCGCCGAAGAGTCTGTATGCTGGTCGAATTCGTCGAAGCAAAGCCATGCTCGACGACGTCCCGCCGATCTGATTTGACTCAGGATTCCAAAGCCTCAGATTTTAAATTTTCAATGCGCGTGTCCGAGAATCTGTTCCCTTCGACTCCTTTTGGGTACACTTTCTATACTGTTCTATACTCATAACCTCTCGCTTTTCTCTTTTCTTTGGACTTAAAAACTTGAAGTGCAGGTGCACGTACTATAGGATGACTTATCAGAAAACTTTGCGCGCCGGAAGTGAGCCAAACCGATTCTAGGAAATTGCTAAACTGCTGCTCGCTGCTGCTGCATTCACTGCCCTTGAAAACCTACCTTTATATAGCCACCGCACAAGACTCTCGTATGGTCACGTAGCGTAACATTGGCCGCATTCAGGAAACACAACTGTTGAGTGAGCGGTCAGTGATTCTTTAATATGATTGGTTCTTACCTTTGGTTCTACTCCGGATCCAAGTGTAAGAACCAATCATACGGAGCGCTCATTCAACAGTTGTGTTTCCTGAACGCGGCCATTGAGCCAACGCACAAGAAACGTATTGGGTGCGTTCAGCCGACACTCCGCTAGCCTAGCAATCGTGAGCAGTCGCTCGTTTTCTCTCCTTTGACCCAATAGATTAAGGGGATGCTAAAGTGACTCAATTACCGACAATTACAGTCAAAGATCTAATTTTGAAACGGCTTTATAGATCGCAAAATCCTTTTACAGGAG